AAGTTAAAAAAAAAAAAACAACAAACAAGACTAGTTCTGCAAAGGTTTGGAGCAAGTAGATAAAAGTATGGTGGGAGGAAGGAAGGTAGGGAGGGAGGGAGGGGGTCCTGGAAGTTGTGGGTAGGGGAACTATATATTTGATTAAAGTAGTTTAATCAAAAGCATCTGCTATTTCAAGACCAGGTGGTAGCTGTAAGTTTCAGGACACAGCTTTTTTTCCCAACTACACCCAGCACCCCCACCATTGCTTGTGTTCATTCTTTTTTCTTTTTTGTATCCAGTTTTTAGTCTTTTTTTTTTAAAGATTTATTTATCTATGCATACAAGAACTAGAGTGTATACCAGAGGTGCTGGAAGGGGGTGGTGGTGAGAGGATTCACCAGAGAGAGTGGGGAGCAGAATAGGCCAGCCACAGATCTAACTTGTGCCGCAATGGCTGGCGATAGCGTGATAGTGCTGTGTCTTTAACTCAGCGCCACCAGGGAGGTCCCGAGTTTTTAGTCTTAAATGTCTCTCTCTCTTTAAAGACTTTGAGGGTGGCGAACACTAAAATTCTCTCTCTTTAAAGAATTTGAAGGTGGGGAACACAGCCCTGAGGCTATATGCAAAGGAAAGCTAAGCATTGCCACCACCCAAGGTAGAACTAAAGAGAAGTAGTTTATTACTTCCCCTTTGTCACCAGGGCAATAGTGACACCTGCCACTATACAAGATTATAAAGATTTCCCCCCCCCTCCCCCCCCCCCCCCCCCCCGCCGGAGGCCTGGGAACAAACGGGGAACGAACGGGTGCTGCAGAGGCTGTCCAGTGCTCAACCGCTGCGCCACCAGGGGAGGCCCTGGTTATAAAGATCTTGATCAGCTGTTTATATGGACCCAGTTGACTGGTTATAACCAATATGGAAAGAACCTGTAAGAAATGTTTATTCTTTCCACTACTATCAACTCACCAGCAGCATGCCCTCAGTAATTGTGTTTGAAATGGGTAAAAGTATGAAATATTGAAAAAATCTTGGCACTCAATCTCCCCACTGTGACTTGGTTCAAGTGTTTCCCTTGCATGTGTTGAAATATGTGTCACTTCCTTCATTGTAGATTTTTACAGACTTGTCATATACTTAAGTCATATGACACTTTTTTTGAAAAATTATGAAGTCAAAGTTTAAATAAAGCAACTTCCTATTTTTTTGCCCTAGAAATAACAAATTTTGTTTTATTTTATTTTTTAAGATTTTATTTATTTATACAAGAACTGGGGTACAGGCCAGATGCGCAGGAGAGTGAGAGGATTCACCAGAGACAGAGTGGGGAGCAGAACAGGCAGACTGACGAAATACACTGCTGAGGGGAGCAGCGGGTGAGACAGGAGAGGTCTGTGCGCCATGTGGGACCCTCGCTGGCCGGCTGGGATCAAACCGGCGCTGCAGAGGCTGCGGACAGCTTCACGGCACTGTGCTCAACTGCCTGCGCCACCAGGGGAGGCCCAGAAATAACAAATTTTAAATGAAAGACTTTTCTGCCTCTATCTTTTAATTCTTTTTTGCAGCTCACAGAATATTTTACTCCGGGCCTCCCTGGTGGTGCAAGGGGATAAGTGCCAGCACTGTGAAGCTATTGGCAGCCACTGCAGCACAGGTTTGATCCTCAGCCAGGGAGCTACTCACATGGCGCAGCAGACCTCTCCTGACTCGCCTGCTGCTCCCCTCAGCAGTGTATTTCAGTCAATCTGCCTGTTCTGCTCCCCTCTCTGTCTCTGGTGAATCCTCTCACCCCCTGCACATCTGGCCTGTACCCCAGTTCTTGTATACATAAATAAATATATCTTAAAAAAATATTTTACTCCTTTAACCATATCCATTGATTTCCTAGTCAGTCTAGTGCTAGGTTTGTTTTACTTCAGGCATTTCCATTTTACCTCTGCTTTCCAGACTTAGCTCAAGTGACTCCTCCATTAAGGAATCCCCATCTGAATTCATCCCTGCTCTTTGGGGCTCCTGTGGCATTTAGGTGAAACTCCATGGCAGCATGCCCTGCCCAGCAGTTTACCTTATCTCATACAGAGTTACAGGCAGGATATCAGAGCATGGTATACAGAATCAGACAGATCTAGGTTTGAGTCCTGAATTCCCATCTCTTCCTGAGGTTGGAGAATGATAACCTACTCCGAACTTTGATTTCCTCATCTATTCAATGTGGATAATAAAGCTGACCTGAGAGAGCTCATCAGAGAATACAGGCTTAAGGAATGGTAATAATCACATTTATTATGGAAGGAAAATGCTGTTTTATTCACTGTTGCTTTCCAATTGTGCCCAGTTCAGTGCTTTACACGTACAAAGAGTTGCTAAATATTTACAATTATTAAACAAAAGTTGAAGAAGCTAATACGCTTTCTGAACTGGGTGAAAATTGGTAATTCGAACAAATTGCCTCCCCAAATGACCTAGGAAATGAAATATTTATAGTTGAATAACTGAATAAAGACCAAGACTTAAGGCTCATCTATCTTTATCTTTTTTTAAGTTGTCGTAAAATTTACATGGCATAGAATTTACCATTTTAACCATTTTCAGCTGTATAGCTCAGTTGCATAATACCTTCACACTGTTGTGTACCCATCACCACAAGGACTTCTTTTCTTAAACAGAGAAGTTCCCTGCTTAATACCTAGGATATGGAAATGATGCTTTACTATATCATATATTTATTATTTTAAAATATATTTATATATTTATATATTTAATGAAATACTATAAATTTTACTTTTTTTCAGAAATAAAAATCTTCCTAAGATTCTGTATTTCCCAGAGCTTTGCACATTTGAATCAGCTAAATTATAGTATAGTGATTTAGAACCAAATTTGGTAGTTTTAATCCTGGCTCACCCACTAGCTTACTGTGTGATCTTGGACAAATTAGCTATCCTTTGTGTGTCTCAGTTTTCACATCTTAAGAGGGGTCATTGTAATAGTATTTATCTTACAGAGTTGTTGATTTGATTAAATGACTAAGTCATGCCTAACATATGGTAGTTGCAACGATAAGTATTAGATAACCTTTTTGTTATGTGGAATAATGTATTCCAAGCTTCTTTCCTGCTGAACTGAGTGTGCTGTGAGGGCAGAGATTTTATCAGTTTTCTGTACTATTAATTGAGTTCCCTGCAAATACTTCCAATTTGGCTTATAGACGACTAGAACCCTCAGTGTCTCCCAGGAGGTCATTTGTAGGAGCCCTTGGCTTTACTTGGGTAAATCCCCAACTCTACAATAAAAAAAAAAGGTGTAAATCTGCCTTTGGGAGACGCTGTTTGTTAGGTTTTCCTAACACCAGCTAAAGAGGAGGGTCAAAAGTCTCCCGCGGAGATGACATCAGCAGGAAATTAGGAAAGAGCTTCCAACCGGATCCCTTTTTCACTTACACAGCCTAAAGCAAAGTCTTCAGTTCTCTTACTCGGTAAATGGAATTGTCTTTGAAACTCAGAGCTCACCAAGGATTCTAATTTTTTAAAACTTTCTTTTCAGGCATTTTTTTCTCAGAACCATTAACTTCCAGAGGATCAGGGGAATTTGATCTGAAGGTATGTAATTAACATCACCCGAGACCTCCTACCCCACTTTCCAGCCCTCCTACTGGGATCTCATAATTCAGCTTTTCCCTTTGGTTTATGTATCGAAACTTATAAAAACCTCATTGCCAAGACTGGCAATTTCTGCCTGGATATATTAGCCAGCCCTGGAAAATGAAAGTTTACAACTCAGCAGGAAGTTTTATATTAGTCCGCCAACAAGACAAAGTTTAATAAAGAGATATGGGATTAGAATCTTTAGGAAACTTTGAGGCAAATGGCTGACCTTAAAATAGGACGATGTCTTCAGAAATCAATCATTTGTTTTCTCTTATCACAGGGCTACTAGCAGGCACGATCTCAGATGATCACATTAAGGATGACTTTTTTGGTTTTCTTTTTCTAACAAAATGTGCAATATGTTCTTCTGCTTATAATTTGAAAAACCAGGAACCCAGAAAATTATATTATCTATAACTATATCACCTAGATATAAGCACTCTCTGTTATTTATGTTCTGTTTTTTGCTATGTTCTCCTTCCTTTAGAAAGTCATGTCTTGTTCTGTTTTTTGCTGTTCTCCTTCCTTTAGAAAGTCATGCATGACTTTTTTTTTTTAAATAATAAATTTTATTTTTATATTCCCCCATACAATTGCAAACGCCCCATTCTGACCCCAATCCTTCCCCTCCCGCCCCCCACCCCCAAAAAGTGTCTCTGGTTCATAGTTTTTTGTTGATTTTGATTTTCACTTTCTTATATTCATTTTCCTGGTCCCTTATTTAAGTTTTCTAGATTCCTGCTATGAGTGAGACCATCCGGTATTTTTCTTTTTCTTTTTGGCTTATTTCGCTGAGCATGATCCCTTCCAGCGCCATCCATGTTGCTGCAAACTGCATGTGTTTATCTTTTTTGAATGCTGAGTAATATTCCATGGTATATATGTACCACATCTTCTTGATCCAGTCATCTATTTTTGGGCATTTGGGTTGTTTCCAAAGCTTAGCTATTGTAAATAGTGCTGCTATAAACATAGGGGTGCAGGTGTTCTTTGGAATTGATGTTTCTGTGTCCTTTGGGTAAATACCTAGGAGTGGAATTGCTGGATCATATGGAAGCTCTATGTTTAGTAGGTCCAGAAATCTCCACACAGCTCTCCATAGTGGTTGGACCAGTTTGCACTCCCACCAACAGTGCAGAAGAGTTCCTTTTTCTCCACACCCTCGCCAACATTTGTTGTTGCTAGTTTTTTTAATATGTGCCATTCTCACTGGTGTGAGATGGTATCTCATGGTAGTTTTGATTTGCATTTCCCTGATGACAAGTGATGTTGAACATTTTTTCATATGTCTGTTGGCCATTTGCATTTCCTCTTCAGAGAAGTTTCTTTGTAGCTCTTCTGCCCATTTTTTGACTGGATTATTTTCTTTGTTGTTGCTGAGTCTCATCAGCTCTTTGCAGATTTTTGTGATCAGTCCTTTATCATTAGTGTTGGGTGCAAAAATGTTCTCCCAGTTGTTGGGGTTTCTCTTTGTTTTTGTTATTGTCTCTTTTGCTGTGCAGAAGCTCTTTAATTTGATGTAGTCCCAGCTGTTTATCTTTGCCTTCACTATCACTCCTTTGGGTGATGTGTCTGTAAAGATGTCTTTGATGTGCAAATCCCGTAGTGTTTCGCCTATATTTCCTTCTACATGCATGACTTTCTAAAGGAAGGAGAACATAGCAAAAAACAGAACATAGATAACAGAGAGTGCTTATATCTAGGTGATATAGATAATATAACTAAATAGTCTTACACAGTGAATAGATAACTCAGTGAGGAATATTGTATTGAAAATTTTTGCCAATTCATTCCTTCTCTGAATAGGGTGAAATTTAGTGTAGAAAACACCATAAACTGGTAAATTGGTAGAAAACACCGAATATTTAGGTCATTTACGACTTCCTACACTGATTTGGTGGAAATGAATTAAACTCCAAGCAGAAATCATGCCGTTTCACCTTCACTTTGACTAGCTCCCACTGAGGACATTTTGATTTAGAAGAAATCAGGGTAACTTGAGTTCCCATAAAAACTCCATTCAGACTTTCTAAAAGGTTACCTTGAGAGTGTTGGGGTTAAGTTTTCTGGACTTGCTCTTGAATCCTAGAGCAAGTTAGGGTAATTAGGCAGTTTTAGGGACATTGCAGGAGGGAACCTCTGAAGAGTTTAGGAAGCCTTCAGAGATAAGGGCAACAAGAGGAATGTAATTAATTCCACTGGGAATAATAAACATCCCAGGACCAAGGGCAACATTGTTAACACTGGCCTTGGTTTCCCTCAGGTGATAAAGGGATGTGGAGTTTGGGGAAATGGAGAGTGGTTTAATTTATGGACAAATTAGGAGGGCAGCAGACTCATGTCTGGTAGACCACCGTCCTCCCCTTTGTCTGAGCGCAGGGAAATTTATGCAAGGGGGAGATGAGAAGGGGTCAGCACCAGTGGGCGCCAGCCTGTTTTTCTTCAATAGCTGATGTTTAACTTTCTCTTCCCTGGAATGCAGGGGTGCTCATCTGGGAGACTGGGCCATAAAGATAAATCTGTCAAACAAGGGGGAAGGTGCAACAAATGGGGAAAGACAAACCTGTTCCATAAGGAATGTGAAGATCCCCCGCTCAGTAGCACATTAAGTGAGACAGCCTAGAACTAACCAATCACAAAAAGACTGGTGGAGCTTTAGAATAATGAGGGAAAGAAGGTATATATTCCCTGAGACAGGACTCCACTTTGGCTTCTTTGCCCCTCCCAGGCCTGGTTTCATGGGCTGGGAGTCCCACTTTATTTGTTTCCTTTTCTCCTCACTAAACTTTTTCTTTCTCTAAACAAACCTGCCTCTTCTCGCTTGCTTGCCTGAGCGTCTGCGAAGTTCCTGCTGCTGCTTCGTGAGACACCAACCCGTGGCGGGTCTAGTGGCTGGGGCTCAGCGCTGCCCCTGCAGCCTGGGATCCGTTCCTGGCTGGGAGACTAGGCCTGACAATTCCGGTATCACTCTCAACCCTTGCAAAAAATCTGCCCCCTCCCAGCACTTCTAGAAAAATCTAATGCCTGCAATAGAGGGGGCCTGGATCTGGTGGGCAGACTGGGGAGTTGGGGTCTATATCCATACTCTCTAACATACTACGTTGCCATTTTTCTCTTCCAGGCTGGTCATGATGTCTAAAGGTCAGACATCTGTTTTGGATAATAGCTTTCGAATGAAGCTTCTGAAGATCGATTCACAGCTGGAGGAGGAAGAAGTGGAACATCTAAAGTTTCTCTGCCAAGTTTTTGTCTCCCCGAAGAAGCTAGAGAATTGCAAGTCAGCCTTGAACATTTTTGACCATCTCTTGGCTGAGGAGTGCCTAAGTGAGGAAGATCCCTTCTTCCTTGCAGAACTCCTGTATACCATCAAGCAGTTTTTGTTGCTGCGGCACCTTGACTACAGCAAAGAGCAAGTGGAGCATTTGCTGCCCACTCGAAGGAGAATTTCTCTGTTCAGGTAAGTTGGGGTCTGGGATCAAAACAGGAGGGCTTTCCATTTAGGGTTCCTTTAGGCCTTTGGGTTTAGAAAGGAGGCTGGGATTAAAATCTTCTTATCTACTTCCTTGCATGATACAGTAATTCTAAACCAGGACATCTCTCACCTTCAGCTGCTGATGAGATTGGGAGGCCAGCAAAGCTTTTAAAACCCAGATCTGGGCCTGGTAGTGGCTTCCATTTATTTAGCAAAAAAGAAGTCTACTTCAGCGAAGCAGGGCCTGTGGCTTACTTTTTCCTATCCTCCGCATTCTTAGACAATCCTTCCTCCTGTGAGTTAGATATGAGTCCACTGTATCCAGGAATTTGAGAAAAGAATAATGCACACCTGGAGCCAAATAAACAAAATGAAAAAGGATGATGTGTCTCCAGAATAGGGTCGTTTATGCCATGTCTAATTATAGATTTTTATACATTTTTGGGTGAAACAGAGAGGTAAAATATAGGTATTTTGTTCATTCTCTGACTACCCAGAAGTTGGGGGAGTTTCCTTTTTTCCAGTATTGGACTCTCTATTGACTAGCATCAGGACCACTCAGAGGAGGGTCTGTAAAGTAGGTCTGAATTTCCAAAGCACAGCTAGGAGCCATGTGGGCTTACGGAAGCTGTTTTATGTCTTCTTAGTTTGATGGAAAACAGCACAGGACTGGGATCCAGAAGGCCAGCCCCTGCTGCTCCTGTGTTATTGTGATATCATAGGTCACTTTCAAGTTCAGAGTTATAGTTTTTGAATCTAAAAAGTAGGATTAAAAATTGGCTACTCAAAAAAAAAATTGGTTACTCACAGGTTTTGATAATTTTAATAAGAGATACCATTTGTAAAAGCACTTGATTTACTGTCCTCTGCAATTGTGGGGCTTTATTTGCTATTTCGTATGTCTTAGAACCCTGCTATATGAACTGTCAGAAGATATCAACCAGGAGAACTTAGAGGAAATGGTCTTCATTCTGAAGGATATGATTCCAAAAACCCCTAAGGTGAGTGTGTCACATAGAATGGGGTCTTTATGAGCACTGCTTACTTGGCGTTTGAGAAGATGCTGGAAAGGCATTTTAGGAAGGCTTATTATTATTTTTGCAGGAGGCAGTGTTAAACAGTGGTTAAAAACATTGACCTTGATGTCAAATGGGCCTTGATTGTAGTCCTGGTTTTTCAACTAGCCCCTTGATGTGGGGCAAGTGATTGAATCTGTTTGAGTCTCCCTTTTCTCCTGTCTTCTTAAGGGACAGTCGTCCTACTTCGGAGGGTTACGTGAAATCAGTCACTTCCATGTACATGAACTTGGCGTCTGTATCTGGCACTCAGCAAGCAGGTAGTCAGTGTATAACTGCTGCTGTCATTCACTGTGTTAAGATATTAAAGTGTGTGCTGGACACAAGAAGGAAATGAGGTGTCCAATAAAATAATGGCAGAGTGGGAATTAATTGTTTGCCATCTACAGGAGACAAGATTTCTGAGGGAGCTTAGTGTCTTTTTCAGTGGACTGTATAGTGTCCTCGAAGTGGGATTTTTGTAAAAATCAAATGAGACCACTGCTTGAAGGTGTGCTATTTTTAATATTAATATAATTGTAATCTGCTAACAATCTTGTACATGTTGGTGACTTTTAAAGGCAAGAAAGTAGTTGCATATCTCTTTTCCTCAAAATGTTGTTTTTCCTTTTTTTAAAATAAAGCATTCTGTTTTCTTTTTTCTGAATGTTATATTTTTCAAAGGAGAAAAGCGAATGAACAAAGGAAACAAAACCAAAACCAAAACTTTAGGCGTTTGCAACAGTTGTGGTTGCTGGAGAGGAAGGCATGGGTGGGGGTGGGGTAGAATGGGGTGGGAGTGGGGGGTGGGGGGGATGATCAGTGGTGGGGAAACGTATTACTTAATCTCGGTGTTATCAGCTGCTGTTATGTCAACCAAAAGAAAATAAAAACTTTATATTTTTCCTTTTGACTATAACAACAACTTATTACAAGCAAGTTATTAATTTGGGAAGAGGTTAATTTTCAGTTTACCATATAAAATTACTGTGTGTTATTCAACTGCTATTTATGTTTAATGTTAAGTTCTATAATGTTTGATACACAAAAATTACATGTGACATATATGGAAGTGGACTACTCAGTGACCAGCCACGAACGACCCCATCCAACTTCTCAGTGAGAAGGTCACCAATGGGCCTATATGTGTAGCCTGCTCTCCATCACATTCTCCCCAGATCAACTGATAATTTAATGACAAATAACTTTTTAAAGCATTTTTTAGTTTTATTTATTTTGCATATAAGAGCCAGGGTACAGGCCAGAGATACGGGGGGTAAGAGGATTCACCAGAGACAGACTGAACAGGAGAGGTCTGCTGTGCCATGTGGGTTGGGCCGCCTGACTGGCCGGGGATAGAACTCGTGCTGCAGAGGCTGCAGATCGCTTCATAGTGATACCGGAATTGTCAGGCCTAGTCTCCCAGCCAGGAAAGATCCCCGGCTGCAGGAGCAGCGCTGAGCCCCAGCCACTAGACCCCCACGGGTTGGTGTCTCACGAAGCCGCAGCAGGAACTTCGCAGACGCTCAGGCAAGCAAGCGAGAAGAGGCAGGTTTGTTTAGAGAAAGAAAAGTTTATTGAGGAGAAAAAGAACAGAAATAAAGTGGGACTGTATAGTGCACCGGGTTCTTCATAGTCAGAGGCAGCTGACAGTCAAGCCTGTCCTCCCATCCTGGCCCGTGGTTTGGGCTGGCCCCTCCCTCCCTGGAGAGTGGGACGGTCCCTTTTTTAGTGCCCTGTGTGATGGCACAGAAGGCATGGCCCTAGGGACAGCTTCTTGCAGCTGAGGTGTCCTGGTTGCAGGCAGTGGAAGTAAGCTGGCAGCCCATTAAGAGGTTGAGGTCCCAAATGCCCTAGGGCGCATGGGGCCTTGGGTGAGTCTGAGGTAGCAGGGTACTAACAATGGCAACTGCCATTTACTGGCCCTTCTCTTGCCTTTCTCCCTTTCTTTTTAGTCTAGCTAGTCCCCTCCATATTACTGTAGGCCTTGAAGGCCGTGTTTAAAAGTGTTAAAAGGATTTTAGGCCCTTGATTTAGTCTCTGGAGTTTGCACCTGATGTCAGAGCAAGACTAACTAATGAAGGAGACCGAGACCGTTAAATTGTTTGTCCTTTTTAGGGTCTAGATTAGTATACCTTTTTATAGCCTCAGTAAATTTAGCCTGAAATGACTGGCTTATTAGGTTTTAAGAAGTCTTATGTGTTGGGGCCTCCCCGGTGGCGCAGCGGTTGAGCGCTGGGTTGCGAAGCTGCACGCGGCCTCTGCGGCGCCGGTTCGATCCCCGGCTGCTCCCCGGCCACCGGAGGAGGGTCCCACATGGCGTGCAGACCTCTCCTGCCGCCCGCTGCTCCCCCCAGCAGTGTACTTCGGTCCTTCTGCCTGCTCTGCTCCCTGCTCTGGCTCTGGTGAATTCTCTCACCCTCCCGCGCTTCTGACTGTACCCAGTGCATGTACAAACAAACAAACCAGCAAACAAATAAATAAAGCATGCCTCTATAAAAAAAAAAAAAAAAAAAATAAAAAAAAAAAAAAAAAAAGAAGTCTTATGTGTTTTAGAATAATTTTATTTGTTTAATTTATGTCAAAAAGGTGAAACAATTCTATAAGAATACTTTCTATGAGGTATTAATATACCAGATTGACTCAGTTTGTTTTCACAACAAGAAACAATTTTATATATCAAGATAACTAAAGCCTGGTGCCACACAGGTGCACAACTGACATTTAAGTTAACCAAAATATTTCATGGCAAGTTACTCGAGAGCAAAAAAATTTTCTGTCAAAAATCCCTCACTCAGACCTTTAACACTCTCCTTTGCCCTTTTTTTTTTCCTTTTAAAACACAAACACCCCTCACTTTACTTGTATCCAGAATTATCACACCCTAGTTTCCAATCTTTGCATTGTAAGACACCATAATAGCTGTTACATTATCATCTCTTTAGACTACACAACTCACACAGACACATCTTTTAATTTTTTTTATTTGGGATGACATTAAACTTTAGTTTTCTTACAATAAGGAGTAAAATGTAAACCTGAAAGTTCAGTAAATGGTTAATAATTTTTTTTACTAAACTTAGCAAAAACCTTAGTTTGGCTTTAGTTTTTCCTTAGAACTGGAATTTTAAGTCAACTGCAGAGTTGCCACTGTACCAATTTTATATACCAAGTTTTTCTTCGGCAAGCACTAGATAGATTGACAAAAGCAAGAAAAAAATTAGACACTTAATACCATAAACATTTTTCAGTAACTTGTCCATATGACTTTAGATGTTACCTTGAATTTTGTAAAGAAATATAGTCATTTACTGGGAGAATGTATTGTTTTCTCCAAGAGGAAAAGACAAGTAGATCAGTCTTCCTGGAACAAGATCTTATCAAGAGAAGTTTAGATAAAAGCCTAGAAGTAAGTTTGTTAGCATAGGCCAGGTTAATTATTATTTCCTTTGTATACTCATACAAATGAGTAAACACATTTAAACAAAGTACAGTATTAATACCAACATTAAAACCTTAAGGCATGTATGCTTTAAACCATTAAATTTTGAATTAGTTTTTCTTTACCACAATTTTAGATCACGATCTCAAAATTTAGGATTTTTTTTTATAGGCACCATTTATAATTAATCCTCCGGAGGCAAAAAGTAAGAACAAAGAGATCTCTTGATTTTTATTTAAAATTTTTGGCCATGTGCAGTAATTTTAAGAAACAGTTATTTTTACCAATATTTGTAAAGACACGGGGAAACTACAAGTCAGTAAACTCCAGTTCTTTAGTATCTATTTGTTTGAGTTTGACACATCCATTTAGCCAAGTTTTTTTTTTTTTTTTTTTTAAAGATTTATTTATTTATTTATTTATACAAGCACTGAGTACAGTCAGAAGCGCGGGAGGGTGAGAGAATTCACCAGAGCCAGAGCAGGGAGCAGAGCAGGCAGAAGGACCGAAGTACACTGCTGAGGGGAGCAGCGGGCGGCAGGAGAGGTCTGCGCACCATGTGGGACCCTCCTCCGGTGGCCGGGGAGCAGCCGTGGATCGAACCGGTGCAGCAGAGGCTGCAGGCAGCTTCGCAACCCAGCGCTCAACCGCTGCGCCACCAGGGAGACCCCATTTAGCCAAGTTTTTAATATCCTTTTTATATCAAGCAGGTTTTTAATGACATAGAAGTTAGAATCCTTTCATAGAACAAGTATCCAATTTTAACCCTTACTTAAAACCTAGGGTCCAACCAAGAAAACAACAATTTTTAAAGTCAAGCATTTTGAGTTTGTATTTTTAAGTATTATCATTTGGCTTTACATTGTTTTAGTTTTGTTTCACTGAGACCAAGCACATTTTTAAGACAAAAGACTTTTTTTTTTTTTTTTTCAGAACCATGTATGTATGGGAAGGACAGGAGAAGAGGAAGAATAAGTTCTTTACAGTTTGCCTGTTTTTAGACTCTTATCAGAAATTAATTAGTCTTAATAAGAAACCAAACTTTTACAGGTCCAATAAGCAATTTAGAAGTTTTTACTCAACCAAAAATCACCTTTTATAGCTCGTTAGCAAGTCCAAAGTAACTCAGCAGTTTTTACCTTTAACAGTCTAGACTTTAAAATCAGAAAAACACAGGGAAATAGAGCTTTTTCCCTAGCATGAACCAAAACAGTTTTTCAAGGTGGACAAAGGGAGAGTCCAGTCCCCCCACAACTGGAAGGCAGCAGAGACATACCTATAATCTTATCACTGGAGAAAAAGTCCAGGCAGCTGCTTGCTGAGATCAAAGGCAGTCTTTTTTTACCAGCCAGTTGTAGTGGGTCCCTTACTTCTTAGTTCCCGCATTTTACCTTTTGCCTTAACTGTGACAAAAGAGGGTTAGCTGGAGAAGATGCCCTTATGGCCAAATTGGGCTAGTTTATAAAGAATGTGGCTTAAGGGCATGTCCCATGGAATTGAGATA